TTAAAAGCCAGAAAAAGCAAAAAGCAGATAATTTGAGCAGAAAATAAATCTCACATGACAAGAGAAAACACACATCACTGTCAAAACAAACAATGCAAAACATCGCATGGGCACATTCTTCACATTTCTTTTTTCCATATTGTGATGCATAGAAGAGATTTTTCTATTCTTCAGCTGGAAATAATTGAAATAACTGTAAAGGAGCTCTGAAGACAGATTATTTATTCATCTAAGCACATGGGGATTGATGGGAAATTCTGTATTACTGTATAGGAATATTTTTTGTACTTTACGTTGTTAACCTCTAATTGAACAAATGATACTGATCCCATTATCTGTTTCTGTATTTGTTGATAGAGAGGAAGAGATAGAATGAAGAGCATTTTTAAAATTAAAAGTCAGTAATTTCCAAATGGTGAATTTATTCCTGGATACTATTCCAAAGGTTACGCTAGTTTCCCAAAACAATTTGATTAATTCTTGAGCTCATTCATTTCCTTTTCTACCCAGAGCTTTAAAAATCAGTAAACGTCTTAATTAAATTTCCTAATGATAAATTCTAATCGTATCAACCTATTTAAGTATGCTTGCCTCTTCTGTTTCCTACACCAAAAGCAATGTATTAGCATCTTAATGGTTGTTCCTAATTTACCTGTCTTCTAGATCCTCAGGAAACGATCTCCAGGAAGAAAAAAACTGTGTGGCTTCTATTTTCACTTTTCTAGGTTTCACTGGATCAAACCAGTAGTGTTATAGCATCAGCTTAATTTATGACTCAAACATGTCATCTCAATATTAAACGCAGTATGCCATCTACAAGGGGGGGGGGAAAGCTTCCAAAGATACAACCATAATTAATTAGCTCAGGGGTGGGGCAACCCAGTCCTATCTCAGAGACACCTTCTATTAATTGTATATCAAACATTTTGTGAGATTTTGCTGATAATTTATTGACTTAATCTTTTCTTTCAACACCCTACCCCCGCAGTTGCAAATGGTGGGCATCTTCCTCAAAGAAGCATCTCCTCTATTCTCATAATTAAGAAAATTCACATAAAATGGGTACACAACGCTAAGATTCAGTAGTATGCAATTGTTTCAATATTTTTTAATGAAGGTTGCATTGCCCACAAACCTTTATTTGTTCATCTTCTCAACAGGCATTGTTAGAGAAAAAAAAAACCATAACTCTACTAGGTTGAATTAAGAGTTTTGCTTAAACCAGGCAGTATCTTGAAAATAGTTGGCAACTTTTTCTCTTCTTTCAATAGAATTAAATTTATCACCATTTTATATGACATTAAGGGAACCAACATTCTTACTAGCATGAACTGCCAGATGAAAAAATGTGAGCTGTTTCTTTCTTAATCTGATCGTACACAAATTCTTACAAGCTTTTGTTTTTCAAAGAAGAAGCTATTTGCTCATTGAACTGAACTTAAATCAGGGAATTAAATGGCTTATGCATTCTTATGAGCACCCTCTGGTGGTGGTTGTTATTTTATTAGACAGATTCAAAAGGGTGCCTCCGCCCATACAATTTAATTTGGTGCTGCCTGAAAAAGCATGAACAGTATAAAGTGATTTCCACGCTCGAGAGGGGGACTACAAACCATAGCCTTGACTATACACACTTTTGTTGACTAGGTGGTATCTCTGCTTTTTAGTATGCTGTCTAGATTTGACAGTTTTCCTCCCCAGGAGCAACTATCTCTATCATATTATCTATTTCCCTGAGAATAAGACCCAACTGGAAAATAAGCCCCAGCATGATTTTTCAGGGTGCTCCTAAAATAAGCCCTACGCAAAAATAAGCTCGTTAAGATTGTCAGCCAGATGGACACATTTAGTCCCGCATTTCCCCAAAAATAAGACCTAACCAGAAAATAATCCCTAATGCGTTTTTTGGAGCAAAAAAATATATATAAGATCTGGTCTTATTTCGGGGAAAACGTGGGTACTTGAAGAGCAATGTTTGCACATGTGTTTGTGAAAATGAGCATGTTCCCCTTTGTGTAAGCTGTTTAAAGTAGGTAAAAGCATTGCCATTCAAGGAAATCAGTAACAAAAAGCACACATTAAACATGAGGGAGGATGGCAGTGGAAGCAGAAGCCAGCACAACCAGAAGTATCCAGTGATTTTATCTGGAAGTCAGAAAGTGAGCGTAATGATATGTGGGAATGTCCTTTGGAGACAGGGCAAAAAGACACAGCCAAGAGAATGGTCAGATAAAAGGGAGCTGAGCACGCAGCAGGAATGTGGGTGGGGCAAGAGGCTCAAAAGAGATCCTCCCTAATTTCTTAAACTGTAAACAAAGACTTTGAAAGAGAGCTGTACTTTCAGACTTGTAAGATTGTGTTAATATAATGTTACAATAGTGTAGAAAGAACTTGTTTGGTGGTTGTCTCCTGTCTGGTTTACTTCATAAGGCTGATATCAATTTTGCAGGTCTCGTACTCTCTTCCAGTGAGAGGAATTTGAGGAATGCCTCCGATCCTCATGGGATTACGCTATCTGCTGAACATTTATCAGCAAAGTTGTTGCAACATCAGCAGCAGGTAGACATACGGCTGACCAGTTTGCAAAACGCCATGATACATTCAGCTGGGACAGAATTTGCTTTAACTTGCAGTAGCTCAACAATCTGAAAGCTCAGCTGCCTTTTATCTGACTGTATTTTCTTTTCAAGTGCTGGATGTTTACTCAGAATCCCCACAGGTCCAGAAGACCAAATAGAAATATGGTAACTTTTAAGATGTTCAGTTGCAATGCCAGTCAAATAGTTGTACAGTCATTGGTACTGATTATGCTGATTTTTGAGAATGCCAGGGCCTGCTTCTTAATTCCCTACTTGGTTATGTACTGGACAGTAGTGATTTATTTTGCACACAGCTACTTCAGTTGGACTTGGCTGATTCCATTTCCTTGAATGTGGCAAAAGTGCGTTTTATTTTGTAAACCCTAATGTGACTTGGTTGCCTTAATGATGTAGTTATTTTTTTATGATTAAAAAAAAGATATTTGAAATGCAATCTGTTTAATTGTTCTATTACCTGGTAGAATTCTGATTAGTGACCATAATAAAGCATTTTCAGAAATTATGTATATTGACAGAAATCAGAATGATCTAATCTTTATCTTGTCCAAATCTCTCTGAACGGATTTAGGTTTTTATTTAGTAATAATTTGAGCAGAAAATGATTGGTTTATTCATGTAGTAGGACATTTTTCAATGTTTCTTAAGAACACGCTGTGAAGAAATGAAAATATCATAGTGCAATTAATGTTTAACAATTTTATTCAAGTAAGTGTGCTCTAATGTTGAGACAAGGCTTAGAATAGCATTACACTGTAATACAATGGTAATCTTAGCCGTTGAACCAAGCCTGCTTGGCATCCTTGGTTTACCTTTCCCCCCACAATACATTCAGGGGAAAAAAGAGAAAAGGGAATCAGCTTATTCGATTTACATTTTGTTCGCTGGCATAAAATAAATTAAAACACAATAGAGATATATACATAATACATTGACAAAACCCAAAATACAATAAATTACACCAAATGTAACCTGTCGATGTAACCCACAAGATTAAAACAAACCAGTCATTGCTGTCAATATTTTTAAACTCCAAAGGCGACAGGCTGTAACACTTTTTTAAAAATAAAATTACTCTCCCACCCTTTTCCTAACTTGCTGCTGAGTACAAACAAAAAGGCAAACTTCCACATCACTTAACCACTATCACAAAATGAAGAACACCGAGTGTTTAGCATACAAAAACTTGTAACAATGAACTGGGGGACAAAAATATACCTTCCTTGTACTACAGCCTTTATAGCAAGATTTTAACAAACATCATATTGGGACAGAAACCCCAATGGAATTTATCATGCCAGACTGAATGAGAAGAAACCAAGGATCCAACTTCCTCTATACGTTGCCACGCAAAACACTTGTTATGTGTACTTAAACTAACATCAACCTAAAATGGCCGCATTCCAAACCAGGGCATGCAAGACCACATGTGCTAACCTGTGAAATACATCACACATGTACAATTATTCCACGTGAGCAGTCTTTCAAGAAGACCAAACCACACCCAATCAAGAGGGGGGGGGGAAGATCCAGAGATGGCTGATTATGATTACAGCAGATAGATTTTGGCCCAACTACACTTCTAAATTTTAGCAGCTATAGATTGAAGAGAGTTCATTTGATAAGCAGCCTTGCCCACATTACATATAGTTAGAGGTGGCAAGATATAAAAGAAGAAACAGATTACTTACTTGTAATATTCTTGAAGCTGTCAAATGCACAATCAATATACATTCTGCAACTGTGCACAGCAATCTTCAAAACTTTGCCTACCAAACTTGTGTGTGTGCGGGTGTGCATGTGCGTGATGACGGCAGCGATAATCAATCAAAGTATATCCATTAAAGACATTTAATCTCAGATCTGGAGAGCAAACAAACATTTAAATAATACTGATACTTACATTCCAGTGTGCTAAAATTCTGCTATTTGATAGGGTAATAAAATGACCACGGTCACGCTCTATCCTCACAGAAAAGAAATAGTTTGCTCATAGGTATGGAATAATATGAAAGATTCATATCTTTCATATGGAAAACATGGATAGCCTATGTGCCCAATCATGATACACAATACCAGCTTTAGCATATTGTGACAAGCCACAGTTTAGTTAGCTTATGATGCCACAAATTCCAGTTTGTTTGTTTTTTTGTAAAGAAGGATGCATATGTGAAAAGTTATCTCTAGTCAACATACAGCATTTTCCTCAGATGGGCAGCTTGAAAACAAGTCCGTTTTTCCTGACATTAAAAAATAGGCATTAATAATTTGCATATTCATGGACAGAAGTTGTGCAAATAATTTTGGAATTATTAGGGGGAACCCTAGCAAAGTGCAATACACGGTAGAGTTGTGTGTGTGTGTGTGTGTGTGTGTATACATGTATGTCTATGTCTATATGAGTGTGTGTCTGTGTGTGTGTGTGTGTGTGCATGTGTTAATATTGTGTTGAAGTGCTGAAAAGCTAATGGTATAGAACTTCCTATGTGATATTGGTTGGAAATAGGCATGGGAATTGGAAATAAGGTTTTAAAAAGTACTTCACTTTTAAAAATGCAATCTTCTTATAGAATGGTTGCCTGTCAGGTTACATTGAAATCCACTGGTTTTATATATACTGTAAGTTAAGAACAAAGCATATGAGCCACTATGACAATCTGACTTCTTCTTTCTTAGAATCTTTCTCTGCTCATTAATATTTCATGGCATAGTGTTTGAAAGATGAACGTGAACTGGGGATACTGAAGTTTAAATCCAATTTAGATATATTAATCTCACTAAGAGATATTTAATAAGATCTCACACTATCCATTATTGCAAAGAGATGGTGGATGGAATGGGAGAGGACAATGACCATTGCCCTGAGATTCTTGCAAAAAAAAAAAAGTGGAATTCAGATAAATCAATACATGAAATAATATACATGACATTTGGAAATAACTGCCTTTTGTTAAGTTTGCTATTCTTAGAGTTAATTTTTGCAATGTGCACTATAATGTTAATCATGCAGTTGGAGATTCCAAGAGTTTATTAACCATTCAGTTTGCTTCAGCAACAGGTCCCACATGTTCAGGTAATTCAGGGAGTTTCTCAAAATGGCTGCCCTGAGACTTCAACAGGGCGCAACACTTAGACATTTTGAATAGTGAATTTGGAGGGTGCTTCAGTCATTTCATGAAATGTCCCATAAAATGAGTTTTCACAGCCCTGGTTACCTGTGTTCTCCCCAAAGTTCCAATTGTTCTGTTGCACCTTCTTCATTAAAGCCATATCAAAGAACGTTCATTTGTTTTAAAAAATGGGATTGAGACAAGACCAAACATGATTATGATGAGAGCAAAGTTCAAACCACCAGTAAGAGCTTAGGAATTGTCTAGCTTAGGCTGGCCAATGCTTATAACTGGAACAATATGGAGATGAAATGTTAAAGCATACAAAACAGCAGTATTTGACCCTAGAAAGATACAAGCCATTGCACCAGACTACATAAGTGTGCAAGTGTTTTTTCCATGCTGATTGTTAAGATTGTATTCTCTAGGCCCAGCTAGATGAATAAACTGATATGGAACTAGTTCAAGATTTACCTAGCCTATACTTTATAACAAAGAGAGAGATTTTTTCATCATATGTAACTTATCTTAATTTAAAGTAAATTGTCTACTTCTATTGAGGGCATAAGTTCCCACTTGCACAGTAAGTCTATACTTCTGTTGCATGAGGTAGCTATTAGTACAGATGGAGAAACTGAGGCACATATGGCAAATTGATTTGCCCAATGTCATAAAAGAAGCTGGTGGCACAAGCAAAGTTAAGCCTGAATTGTCAGAATTCATATTTAGTTTTTAGGCAACAATGGTGCCAAAAATTTGTAAAACATTCTTCACAAGTGGCCAGCTTACGGTTCAAAGTAAGGAACTGTAGCCAGTCATTGTTAGACAAAAACAAGTAAACAAAAAAAATCAAAATAGTTACAATAGGGAGAAAACATCCCACAATCTGAAGTTAAATATGTAGCGTAAGTGTATAGGACGAGTTAGTTTTTTCAGTTCTTTTTAAAAATCAAATATTACAATCAGCTGAAATAAAAAATAAGAAATAGACCTAATCATATAACATGGGAATAAGAGATCAATGCATGTTGCTTGCCTTACGTGGCTAGCCAATCTGTATCAAAACTTTACACTCCTAGTCAGAAGATTAGGTGAAAAAAGGCATGTGCAATTAACAACTTTTTCATGAAAAATATTTCCAAAATCTGTGCAAGGAATGCAGAATTCTATATCTGGTTTTCTTTTTTTCATTGAATTATACCACTTTCTAATTGCAACCCAAATCTTCTGTAATTTTGAAGATGTAAAAGTGTTTTTACATGATTGGGCTAGATCAAAGTATCAGTGTACCAATTCTTCATTATCAGAGCTTTCCCACTACATACATCCCACTGGTGATTCTGCCCTGATGTAACCCTGCATTCATTTACCCATCCAAAATAGCTGACTTCAGGAGTTTGAAAATAGGCTTTGAAACTCAAGGCTCTCTACCTCTCAACAGAAATCATTAAATATAGTTGAATACATGCTTTATATGATGTTGGCAAGTTCATTTTTTATAGGGAACCAACTGCCCCACCCCCGGAGTGAGGAGGCAAGTCAAGGGGTCAAATGATAAAAGGTGTAGTACAAACTTTGCCCCTTTTATACATGAGTTGTCCTACAAGCAAATATATAAGGAGCAGAGCTTGCATTATGATGTCAAAACCCACAATGTTGTCAACTGGAAAAAGTGAAGGCTTCCTGCAGATAGCCTAGAATCCCCCATGCCTACAATATTCAGACTCAACAGTAGTTTCATATGCATACAGAAAAGGAGAAGGGCAGAAGAAGAAGAAATTAGTTTAGCATAGGAATGCCCCAACCTTGACAACTTTAAAACTTTGTGGGCTTGAACTGCCAGAATTCAAATTGGGGAATTCGGAGAGTTAGACGTCCCCAAGCCTTACAGATGCCAAGATTTGACACAACCCTGGTTTAGAGCATTGAGAGAGAAAAACAACATGAAGTGTGACAAGAGTGCTGGTGCAGGAACATTTTTACATATTTTCCTGCTCTCTAACAGTGTACAAACACTGATGTCTACTTTTGCAAATTATCATAGTATTCTTGAAAAATCAAGAACAGGGGCTTAGATGTCTCGCATTGCTTGTTGCAGTTTAACAAGGACTACAAGAAACTCCAGAAAAAGAGTCAGCAATTCTGTGTAGCTCAGCCACATGCAGCTATAAAAAACGGGGTTCCCCAATGCCAGTTCCGTAGCGGACCAAGAAATGTGATATGGTTTCAGCACCAACTTCCTACTTTACCTGGCTTGAAAGTGCATTCTTAGTGCAAGAAGTAGAACTGAAGCAAAAAGGAGCTTACCAGCCCCTTGTGGATTTCATGCTAGGACCAAAATTCTTGCTTGAGTTCATATGCTGTAGATTTATGTGTTCTGAGTTCTGTTCTGCATAGCGGCACTGTGCTGTCCTGATTCTGACCTTCAGCATCCATGTCCAGCAGTGTCCGTTCCTCTTCAGGCAGCCTGACACGAAAAGAAAGCAGCGTGGACTGCTCTTCAACTGTGCTGCTACTGCTGGCAAAGCAGGAATCCAGGTTACTGGGAGTTTCAGTACTGGAGCTATTAGCAGAGGATTCACCCCTAGCCTTACTTGGGGATACAAGCCACCAGGGATCAACTCGCTGCCTGTTAGCTGAAGGGCGTGGCCTAGGTAGGAATTCCAAGGTCTTGGGTCTCTCCAACATGGAATCCTGTTGAGCACTATAACGCCTGGGGGTTGGAGGGAAGATGAGGTTGGGATCTGGCAGACGAGGGACTTCATTTGGACCCTGACTTGGACTAGGAGTTTTTATTATACCTATTCTCTCACCAGGAAAAAAAAATCACAAACAGAAGAAAGGAACGGGGAGAGAGAAAAGAAAGAGAAACCAACCAGTTAGACAGCACTGATGAAATGAGGCACTGGGATCATTTAGTATACAAAGGGTGTATTAGACAGAGGGAGGATTCAGTTCACATAGGAGCTACGGTGACTATTATTGCTGATCCAAGCAAATCTGTATGGCAAATGCCAATATAAGAATAGAGTGACAGGTTACAAGGTCATCATATACACAACATGCAGTTTTATGTCTCTTTTGCTGGAATTATTTTTTCCAATGTGGATAACTTAGCACTAAACTCTAAAACCAATTTTATAGCTGGTAACAGTCAGAGAACAGCACACCTATATTGAAAAGGAAAGGTTTCCATGAGTGTTTTAGATAGAACGGAAGACTGTGTTTATGCCTCATTGCTTTAGAATGGCTTGGAACAAATTTTATTTATGAAGATACAAAACATTTCTTTGGCTACAGCTCTGCAGAGAGTAGCCACTGCTTTTAATAAAAGCAACCTAAAACAAAAACAATAAAATACTAACGTTTTTTCTCATTAATTCTTATTGTGTCTAGATACTGCTTCTAAATTTCAGGGTAGCACACAGGCTGCTATGATTCAGTGGGACTTTTGCTCAAAGACTCATTTTTTTAACAGTAATTTCACAGTTCAAATGGGGCTTCCTCCAAAGAAAGATGCAGTGTCTATCTACAATTAGACTACGTGTCTCTTGAAGTTTAAAATGTTCTTTAACTACATTTGGAAACTTCTTAAGAGTAGCGTTAATTATCCTTGTTATTAGTATTTATTTGCATATTATGTACATCAGCAGGATACAAGTTATGTAAATGGCAGTGATTCTATCATGCATTGTTTGGAATCCTATCTGACCAAGCGCATGACAGGATTGTGAAAAATTCAAAAAGGAAAAAAAGTGTTTTGGAAAGGCTCTTCCATTGCACTAAGCGGCAATGCTTTAAGTCAAGTACGTCTTTTTCCAGGACTGCTTTGTAGCTGCAGAGAACAGGTGCTGGGAAATGGCATTATTAGTTTCAGCCACAGGGAACGGGTGCTGCCTAGTGCCTCCATCTCTGCTGGAACACCTTCTTCTCTTGGAAACTAAAGTGATACACAACATATTGTTGTATGTAGTATGTACCATATCGATGTACTTTTGAACTGACTTAAATCACTTAGAAAAGATAACAAAGAAATGGAAGAGATTTAATTTCGGATCTCTATCAGTTATAGATACAGGACTTTCTTATTATATCCAGATTATATAATCATATATTATATTATAAATTGATTATACCCAGACCATTTATTTAAAAAGTTTGAGAACTCTTTAAAGAAAGCTGTTTCTTTTCAACTGTAATTAATTTAAAAATGCATTTAAATTTTTAATTAAATTAAAAATTATGTTTTAAAAATAGTATTAACAGTGAAGCATTCTTATTTTTCCTTTAAATGGAGGAATTATAGAACTTTCCCCCACCTTACCAATATACCTAAAGTAACTTCAGAATAGCCAAGTTATGATATCAATTTTATGCAAGGAAATGACAGTATTTTGTGAGAAGATGAAGTTTTCATTTTATCATAACCCTTATGCTTTATTGTAATATGCATTTTAATATATATCTTAAGAAAATGGACAAAATTAGGATGACAAAGTATTATTTGTATGGACATGGCTAGAAAACTTCTAACTATCTAAGTATCTATATTTGTAGCCTTAAAATTGTAAATTAAAATAATGTCATGTTCAGTGCTGGCACAGAATTATTTATTATTATTATGGTGGAGCACACAATTAGCCAGGTGTTTATACTGGATTTGGCAATTTTATCTATCAAGTTATTTCCAAAATCTGAGATGTAGAGATATTTTTAGATGGCGTTAAAAGATAATTGTCGTAGGATCTAACCTGTTCCAAGTAAAGCTGTTTTTTGGAATTGACTCGTGCGATTTTTGCCAATATAATTGGCATTCAAATGATGCTCCAGATGCTTTGGGATTGCACCCAAGGCACCTGTTACTTTTGGTAATAATATGGTATCCTAGTTTCAGTCCATCTTTTTCACTGTCCTTTTTCCTTCTTCAGTTGTCTGATATATTTGTAAGAGTCCATGCCCATCTATTTTCCTTGTAAATAACAGTCTGTCAACATTGCTGTGTGAATAAAGGGCACGATTCATTGTCATCATTTTTCTGTTCTTCCTTTCCAGGGCTGTATATCTAATGATTGGAATTTCCCAGGTGTTAATTGACTTGATGACATTTCCTCCACTCAGTTTGGACTTTAGATCTTCTTCACTCTCATGATGTATTCCCTTCTAACCTTCTTCTTGACTTCAATTGCCTTGACCTTCTGAGCTTGCAGGATGGATGCCCATGTATTTGTTGTGATCTTCTTCATCCAGGTGCTTGAAATTATTTCCATGGAGCATCTTGAGTTCTTCTATTTTTACCCTGTTGATGGTAAGGGTGGCACATTTATCCAGTCCAAACTCTACAGCAATGTCTTGGCTACAATTACTGACGGTGTTTAGCAGCAATTCTATTTCAGATGGTGTTTTTCTATATACTGTAGCTTCAGATAGTCCATGCAGAGGAGGTGTGATAGCTTGGCAGATGTTTTTGATCTCTGATAGCCATGGCTGACTTCTTCAGTATTGATGATAGAAGAATCAATGAAATGGCAAACAGTAGTTGTGATAGTGATCTCTGTTGATATTTACCTCTCCCACTCTATCATTCTTGACCAGGAATTGTGTCTTGCATGGTGACATTGATCTTTGCACAAAGTTTCTGATGTTTCTACTGATTCCATATTTCTAGATGCTTGATTATCTAATCATGTGGCAGGGAGTCAAATGCTTTCTAGTAATCAAATCTTGCTACATTCAAGTTGGACTTCCTTCTTTTCCAATTTTCCAAAAACCATCTTCTCAATTAGGAACTGATCTTCTGTTTCTCTACTGTTTGGGTAGTTTCCTTTCTGCTCAGGTGGAAAGAGCTTGTTTTCAAGTAGATATTGTCGAATTGCATCAGCTACCACACCAGTTAGCAATTTCAAAGTTGTTGGCAGATAGATAATTGGCCATAGTGGTTCTACCCCTTTTGCTGAAGCTTTCATGATCAGGTAAGATTTGCTGGTGTTTTAATTTCACCTCCTTGCAGTATGTTATTAAACTGTTTGGCAATGTGTGGGTGCAGACCAGTCAGCTGTTTCAACCAAAAACCAAGCACTTTTCATCTTCACCTAGTGCTGACCAATTCTTGAGTTTCCTTGCCCTTTTCTCTATAATTTCTGCTGTTCTTGGAAGTTCTTTCATTTCAGCTTCTTCTTTTTCTTTCCACCTTCTTTAGCCAAGCTGCATTCCTACTTTTTTTTTTTAGGTTGTCCCATAGCTGCAACCAGAACTGCAATGTTTCTTCCTCATCAGGTGTTGACTGATTCATTGCAATCTCTCCATGGATGAACTGGTAGAAACATTTATGATCTGACTATAGTGTGCAATTTGTTTGTTTATATTCCACCTTTATCAATTTTACAAATAACTCAAGGCAGCAAATGTGAGCCTTATGTCTGCTGAAGTTCTTGCTTATGGCTATTATTTGCTGCTTTATTATTTCCAGTGATTTTTTGATTTTCCTTATTTCTAGAGGACATTTCTTCAGCGTTTTTTCTTTCACCTGTTCTAGCTTGCTTGCATCTGATCTAAGCACCCTGACTTTATTTCCCAACCTGATCTTCCATTTTACTGGGTTTTAGTAGCTTTTTATCTCGTTAATTTTGCATTTAAGATATTCAGTTAGAACTGCAGCTGTGTTGTGCATCAGTTGGTTTGTTTCTTGCAGTGAACTATTGCTTATATTTGATATGTAGTATTGGCATTTTTAATACTTGTAGTAGCGGCTTCTTGGAACAAGCTTCAAAGCAGGCAACATTGTTATTTTTCTGCTGCGCAACTACTCAGTTATTCTTTATTTCATTGCTCTTACTTTATTTTTAGTAAGAGGGCTTTGTTGTATTATTATTATTTACTTTATTCATTAAACATGAAACTCAGTCAACTGAACATTCAAAAATGCATCACAAATACCATTGTCTGGTGTTAATGGTTAATACGGGTTGCTGCCAGCGTCCTAGGTATCAACCAAGTACCTTCTTAAAATATAAGATGTTCCGAGTAGCACAGTTTTTTGCAATTCTGCTGGTGTTATTGCAGGAAGATTATTATTATTAGTTATAATTATTATACAATTGTATCACAGCGGCCAGTTGTTTCGCCGGATTTGGCATTGGTTACTAGTCGGGCCGCACCGCTTTTGGAATAGCACCCAATGTGTCAATTATCACTGGAATTACCACTGCTGGTTTGTGCCATAGTCGTTGAATTTCGAAATTATTATTATTATTATTATTATTATTATTATTATTATTATTACTACTACTACTACTACTACTACTACTACTACTACTACTACTACTACTACTACTACTACTACTACTACTACTA